GGCATTTTAGCAAACTCTCAAGATTCGTGGCACTTACAAATTTGCCTGTATTGCCATAGGCACACCCAGTTCCTGCACCGGCGCCAACCCGCGCTCACAACGCAGGTTCGTTCCAGAGCCTCTTTTAATAGTTTTTGCAAACTTGATCACTGAATCCAGATCCAGTAAGACCTGAAGGCCGTCCGAAAGTTGGCCAACAAGAACTTTCGAAATGGATGCGTGCATCTCAAACATGGAGGGGCAGAGTGGACACTATGGCTAGTGTTGTAGCGAGGCAGACTATGTTGCCCTCGGAGACAATCTCTTCAGAATCACAAAGCGTATGCAAGTCTTCCGCCCTGCAGGTTTGGTCACGCTTCCAAGGCTTGTGAATCTTGACTGGGATGAACCGTGAAGGGAAATGGAAAGAAATTCAGGAGCCCTTGGAACATCTGGAAACATCTTCAAACCCAATTTGCCAAAGGCAGCCCCCCGACCAGCTGGAAGCAAGCAAGGCCTTGTCACAGACTTTTTGTGCTACCTGATCCTTGTATGCCTTACTCCTACATTTTTTCCGTGATTGGTTCATGTGCATCAATCAATAGTTTGATTACAGCCTAGTTGCTGGGATTACATTTGGATTCAGTTTGTTTTGGTATCTCGCAACTAGATATATAGAGCCAGGCATACTGGGTTGGCAAGAGCCCGAGAAGGCCGGGGTTGTAGTATATAGTGCGCATTCTGCTTTTGTGGAGGGTGATTGTGTGTGTGTGCCTGGAACGTGCCAGAATAGACATGACAAAATATGCGAGCAACAGGAATACTTCGGATCTTTCTGACAGGAAAGACGGGAAAAAGAGAAAGATGCTGGCAAGACAAGCATCTTGGATTGCAGACTTAGCTGCTCTAAGAATTCTCGCAACATGGCATCTATTTTGCATCGCATCTCTTCCCGGAGTAGTTTTGGTGTCAAACACATCAGTGACTTTCTCGGTGTGAAATGGATCAAAACCAAGGTAAGAAAAAAGCATCTGTCACATTCCTAGTCTTTGCCATTGAAAGATTCAGCAAAGTGCGTGAATTCAACCAGTGCGTGCATTAGTCAAGATATTAAAACGTGTTGAAGCTGTTTGCTGAAGGCGAAGAGCAAAAAGACGAACGTAGAGTCTTCCGGTCAGAAAGCTGGTGCAACGCCCAGCCCTTTCAGACTCATGCAATCTCCCACAGCAAAGACTTCAAAGACCTGTAGAAACCTTCAGAATCCTTTATAGAGAATAGAGGTGCAGAGGTTTGGAAGCACGCCTTTTCTTGCAAGGCCCATCTTCTGGAACAACTCCATTGCCATCATTCATTGAGGTTCGTGCAATAGTTGGTGCAAGTGTTGCACGCCCTGGTCATCCATGTGCCCAGAAATTCCTTAGACGGGCTAATAGACCCTACTATTAGGGCATATCTTTGCATTTGGATACTGTTGGATACTGTTGGACTGTACATTGAACTTGACAGCACACAGACTCCCCATGACTCCACACATTCAGAGACTTCTGCGCAGCGCTAGCAACGGAGATGGTTTCGAGTGCTGTTCGGCCGTGAATCAACGATATTGCACCGGCATGCACTGGCCACGCACAACCGGTTCCTTCAACCCCCGGCTGAGAACCACTTTACAGGGAAAAAGCACATCAGTTTGAGTTTGAGACCCGCCTGACTTTTCTTCTCAGGATCTACAACACACATTGTGTGGCGCATAGAGAACGAAATCGGGTAGTCGCACCGACCATGTGTGGACATCAAAATTAAAGTTGGGTTCACAAGTCATAGGGAAAGTCACCCCGCACTGCGTCTAGGTAAAATTAATACAAGTAAATAAAATGGCAGGAATCTGCGTCAGTGCTACAGGTATCTCCATCTGAATGCAATAAATTTGAAGCATCCAGGCAAACCAATTTCATGACAGAAAGTAATACGGATGTGATGGCTTCAGACCAAGTATATCTTCTATGCAATACAACTGGAATCTTCGCAAGTGCTGATGCCAACCTGAACGCAACAATTTTGAAACATCCAAGTAATTTATATGAGGTACGGTCAAAACTCTGGTATACTACTTATGTAAGGAGAGTTCTCTGGTGTCTGGAAAATGCACAAAACACTGTGTAGCGATAGGCCCCCCCAAAAGCGATACTTGTGCACAATGTCCACATCTGAAGTTATTTTGCACAAAGTTACGTACATGCAAGAGGCTAAATTAGCGATACCCCTTGCGATACCTTAGCGATACCCACTTGTTCAAAAAATAGGCCCAGACCAGACCACAAATAGATCCTTTCCTTTTTCCTTTCCTCTTTTTCCCTTCCTCTGCCTTTACTCCTTTCCTTATCTCTCCCTTTCCTCCTCCCTTCCTTTTCTTTTCCTTTTCCATTCCTTTTCCTTTCCTCTTCATTTCCTTTCCTCTTCTTCTCCTCTTCCTTTTCTTTTCTTTTCCTCTTCCCAATCCTTTTCCTTTCCTCTTCCCATTTTCCATTCCTGTTCCCGATCCTTTTCCTTTCCTCTTCCTTTCCTTTTCCTTTCCTTTTCCCTTTCCTTTTCCTTTCCTCTTCCGTTCCTCTTTTTGCAAAACCATGGATAGCGATAGGCCCCCCGCCAAAAGCGATACCCAATTTTCGGGAACCAAGCGAAGACAATGAGTTTTGACAATGGCTCATACAAATTACAGAAGGTATTGTAGACGTGGGTAACACAATCAACATGGTGTGTTTAAAGTAGCCTGAAATGCAAAAGAAGACTTTGCAAATGCTACAATTCTGAAGCTATCATGTCCATTGTGTTTTCCCTACATGTTTTCTTTATTGTGACAACATTGATCTGTTTGGATGTTCCAAAAATGCTGCATTGAGGTGGGGGATAGAGCATTTACAAAGGTTCCTGGTATACCTTTATATCTTTTATTTAAATCTACGTAGATATAGTGAGGCATCTACCATGGGATCTGAAGCAAATCAAAACCCAGTTCCAGTCAAGGACCCTAGACCATAGTCGATCCAGACTGCGGTTCCAGACCAAACATTTGGATCTTGTCCGTCATCTCATTCGCATCTCGGTCAGATCTCGTTCGAGGCCGCCTTTCGTTTTTCCATTTGTTTCCACATCACTGTGGGTTTTGGTCTCTCCATCTCCCGCCCGCTTCCCCCATTCCCGCCCTGCTATTAAACACTAAGAAATGATGATTGATGGGATGACTGGCCATTACATTGGGAATCTACTGGGAAAAACACGAAAGTCGCATGACTTGCAGAACTAAGCTAGCTACTTGAACGCACACGAATTGATGCGTTCACATGACGTTTTACGCTCTGAAACCGTGTCTTGTATGCGTACCATTGTAGACATGAATGTCGAGATGACATTCTTGTGGTGTGTTGTCCCACAGCTTCATTAAGTAATTAATCAGTATATACATGCACGAATATACCTTTGCAGGTTGCGTTCACAATCCTTTTCTATTCTACGACTGTTTTTCTCTCTGTACTCCTGTGCTCTCATGTTGTTTTGCGTTAAACAGCACCTTTTTCAATAGCTATTTTCCATGCGGAGATTCGATGGGGTGACTTTTTTCAATGGAATTCCCATGGTTTGTCAAAATTGGGATTGTGTTGCGTTTACACGGCCAGAACTTTTTGGGGTGACGAACTGGGATCGCAGAATTGCATTTTTGAGTTGATTAGCTCTTCATTCGACTGGTGAGATACCGAGCTATATTAGTCCACAAACATCGTTTGTTTTCAGTGTGTACAGGTTCGTGGTTCTGCTTCCGTGGGTTTTGCTAGCATCAACCTTTTGCTCAACCACCACAACAGCGGCAACCAACGGTGCCAGCACCAGCCACACCAATATATGCAACGTCACCAGTACCTGCAGTGGACCTGCACCACCTCAAAGGTGCTGTGTGAACACATTGGAACCCATAGTGCACCCCGGTTGAAAGATTTAAAGACAAATCCGGAAAGTGCATGAAAGTGGTATGCTGCATGCTGTTTCATATTGTTTCCAGAGTTCCGTAAAGAATGGTACACTTTCAACTGACAAATAAATGCTCTCTACACAAGCTTCAATAGCAAATGGTCAAAGTCACATGCGATATTTCAGGTGGACATGGAATCCATGGAGTTTCAGTTGTCTGACGAGGACGTGGCAGATATGCAGGTGCAAACCAATTTGATGTGAAGATGTGAAGACGTAAATCCTGCACCCTTGGCGATGGAGTTGGAAAGGTGAGAAGAGAGGAGAAAGATCAGGAGAATGAGGAGAACGAGGAGAAAGAGAAGGAAGATGAAGCCGAATTGGACTTGTCAGGCCTTGAGTCAACCTGAGTTCATGACATGCCGTCTGAAATGCTTGGAATTATGGACTGCCAGGAGATGCAACATGATGCGACTCCAAAACAAATCTTGGTGCTGAATATATATTGATCTTCAAACTTCTGTACAGAATAGATCAGGGATGCGAAAGTTTGCAGCTCCCTGTACCGGTAAATCCGGTCTCCACGCCAACACGCGTTAAGTAGATTTGTCTCTGTGGGTGTCTGCGCGTGTGTTTGTATCCGTGCAAATAGATAGAATCTGAACTGGTGTGCAGGGGAATTTCAGTGACCAACCTTTGTTTAGGTGTGCACAGCATTGCCCATGAGTTGTTCAGCATCGGCACTGACACATACACACACAGACGGGTGTGAATAGGTAGATGTGCTCATTTCTTTGATTCGTCCATCCAACATGCAGCGAAAAACAAGCATCAGTCGGGAGGAGGATTTTTCATTGAATTGACAATTGACTTGTGAGCTTTTCATTTAGTCTCATGAACTGACAGGTCTCATTATGCAAAAGGAAAAGACAATAAAAAGAATATAACTGATTAAAAGATCATATATGTGGAGAAAAACAATGAAAGTTAAAGGATCAGTCTTGAGACATACTGTCCGGCTTGTCTGGCTCAATGCTGCTCCTACGCTGCATTTAGACTTGGCTGACTTTGTCGGAGGAGTGCAGGACTTAGCAAAAGCATTTGCTCCGCGTTCTTGTCCTTTGCAAGTTTGCCAGCTTGAAATGAAGCAGTCTCCATTTGCATGCTACTTGCAGACTGCACGCCACAGGTACATGCGCCATGCCTTAGGGCTTTTGGACAGAAAAGTTGCTCGCCAAGAAGATTTAATTTCTGCATCAGCAAGGAGTCCAACAAGCGACATGGGCGCGCTTTCAAAGCGGAACTTTTTAAGAATTTTAAAGAGATCATTCATGAGATTGCGAGCTGACATTCCGGTATAAGTGTAAGCTAGTCAGTCAGCCGGTCTTGACAGATTCTGTTCAAAATATTCAAAGTGAGATACGGAATGCACATGCACCAAACCATGCCGAAGCATGCTTTGGAAAAGCCAAGGTGTTCACCTCCAAGTTGTTGAGGAAACCCACTGCAACAGTTGCTGCCGTCGCCACCGCAGAATTACTGGAGAGCCTGGCATATTGGGCTTTGTGTTGGCAATCAGTCAGAATCAGCGTTTATCAGCCATGTGAGGGATCTGAGATCATTTTAATTTGATCCTTTTGTCCAATCATGTATCTTCGATGTTGGAGAAAACTCCAGAGGCTTCATGCTGTACTGATATTTGCAGTTTGACTGAATAATAATCATTGTCAGTTTTCAAACAGCGAACGCACTCAAACCAGCTTTTTTTGCCCTTAAACTTGCCCTTCAACCAAACTCGACCAAGAATTTCCCCACCACTGCTTTTTGAAGCGGTGCAACAGATACTGCAATGACCTCTTCTCAGAAGCAGGTTCGCAACACCAATTCTATTGTCATGATAGATCATGATAGCCCCTATTGGTACTGTAGTTGGCATTGATTAGAAAGATTCAGTTCAACATTGAATGAAGGACTCCGTTGCGCAACAGACTCGGGAACAGCAAGAGAACCTTTCACCCGGCTCCGAATCACCCAGTATCACCTGGTACTTGTAAACGCTTTCAAGCCATCAAGGGAGAAGGAGAAACCCATGCAGAGACCTGCCAGCGCTGGAGTTCCCCCACAATTCTCTTTCTCGTACATCACCACCATTGGCCCACCATTGTCTGAAATCTTATTGCCGCGGCGATGTTTGGCTTGTCCTGTCCAAGAGCCGGAAACCTATGCAGTCGAGTTCAGTTGGAAGATGATTGAAGCACTTTCCCGCACTCCCGGCCAGCTGGGGCCGCGGCGAGTCACAATGCGAGCTGCGCCAGAAAGTGGTGCAACTCAACTGTCGGCCTCCAAGACTTTCCAAGTGGTGATTGAAACAGACTAAAGGATCTAAAGGAGATGGCTCATTTATATATATATAAGGTAAGAATTCAAGTCAGTTCAAACTTATCTTCAACCTGCCTTTTTGGCACAGGGGTGTGGATCAGTGGATACCGTGTGCACAAGCTTAAAGATGGACAAACATGTGTTCATGAAGTGGTAAAGATCTCTCAGAGCACGATGTGAGGTAAAGTAAATACTAGTTCCCTCCAGTTACATGTTTTAGCAACTCCATTGCCAAGTTGACTCCAAGACATACATACACATACTCCTTTGTTGAACACACCCAGGCCGCGGCTGTACCATGACGTGAATGCAGTTCACCCAGTTACTGTCAAGGTTACTGTCAAGGTTCCACCTGAGTTTAGAATACATCGGGTTAACACTTGTTGAACCTTTGCTGAATTGAACTCCGAGTTCAACATACTTGGACTGCCAAGCGAGTTCATCAGAGTCTCTGGACCGTTGCTTTGTGATTTGCAGTGTCTCTCAAAGTCATGCCTCATCAAGGTCAACCGACCGCGAGAGTATTGGGACTATGAAAACCTCTCTGTGAATTGGGGGTGCCAACCTCGGATGGTCGGTGCAGCTCTTGACAACAATCTTGGTCAATGGTTTGCACTGTTCATCCCAGCAGCTTGTGGTGGTTACATACGAGTCCAATAAAAGGCGGTCCGTGCAATGACTGAATGACTGTGAGGTGTCAAGATGACTATGAGGTGCTCCGCAAAGTTGGCAGAGGCAAATACAGTGAGGCACGGGCAGTGAGGAAACGACTGAGGTTCACATAGGTTCACAATGCGGATGGTCATACGAAGACCAACAAACATGGGAACAGAAGCCGGGAAGCCTTTGGAAATACAAAGAGCACCTGAAAAATGAACAGAGGTTTATGTTTGCATATGTTTGCAACACATGTGCTGCGCTTGATCTTGATGCATACCGATGGATATCGTTGCATACTGAATTTTGCAGCTGCCCGTTTTGCTTTAGACGAGGTGGCTGTTCCAACCGTGTACAAATGTCAACTCCTCTTGGTGTAAATTCTGCAGATGAATTCGCAGTTTCACTAAGCACACGGTATTGGGCAGCCGGGCAGGTGTTTGAAGGAATTCACATGGCTTCACAAGAGAAGTGTGTCATCAAGCTGAGACCTCAGTACCTCAGTACACTTTGAAGACTTGGAGGGCTTGGAATTCCTCAAAGGCAGTCCCATCCCCATGTGAGCAGTTTGAGCCTGTAAGTTTTTATGCAGTGCAATGGAAAATGATTCATCATGATGTGCAATGATGTGTGTCTATAGAGAGAAAGAGAGAGAGAGAGAGAGGAGAGAGGCAGATATACGGCACAACAACAAAGATTTTAAACATGTTCTGTTGCTATGATTATGATCACAGCAAATGAGACAGCAAGTAGGAACGGGCTGGTGCATCTTGAATTGCCAAAGAAAGGGACCGAATACTTGCCACAACCACACCTTGGGCCTTGGGCTACACATATACATACGCCGACCCACACGCGCGCGCACGCACACAAGCGCACACACACACACTCTGGTGAACACACACACACACACTGAAAGTATAGCTTCAGGCAAAAGCAAACTGGGAAGTGCAAGTCTTCCGAAGATTTCTGTGGCTGTGGCTTGTTTTACCTCAGGATTTTGAAGCCAGTGAAGAAAAAGAAAATCAAGCGCGAAATCAGGTGCGTGCACTCTTTTGGCCCACGTTTTTAGTACATTTATGAGATTTGATGAGTGAGTGTGTGTGTATGCTGAGCCTGTTTTACATGATGTACATTCCTGACTCAACACTGCATGTCATAATTGCCCACACGGGCAAACTGAATAGATGCCTTTTCAATCACATGAAGCTATGGGTGTGGTCGGTCAAGAATGCGCAATGCAAAAGTTGTTGTTCCGTCAACTGAACATCACATCTTCAAAGCACTGGCGCATAAACAGGAATTGATGCCACTGCATGTCTATGCAATTGAATGTGAGAAAGTTAAGATTATGGGATGATGGAGATGCTTAGACATGCTTCGACGCTAGATGACGCTATGGGCAGGATTCTGCAGAATCTTTATGGCGGCCCCAATGTGGTCAAGCTTTTGGATGTGGTGCGGGATCCGCAGTCCAAGACACCGAGCTTGGTGAGCGACTTAGTGCCTGTGCCTTCGTAGCTTTGCGGATGCCACAGAGTTGTGCAAAGAAAGATTTTGGAAGTGACAACGGCACATCATATGTAAGCTACTAGTATTTGTGTGTATATTTCCATATATATATGATATAAAGAGCATCTATCTACATATAACCATGTGTGTTGACAGTATGTATGAATATGAAACGAAGGCATAAACTGTTTGTGCACTCGTTTCTTTCTTTGCATTTGCCAAACAATGCTGACATGCCGAGATATTTGAGTACATCAACAACACGGACTTCAAGCAGCTGTACCCTACGCTGACCGACCACGACATTAGGTACTACATCTTTGAGATTCTCAAGGTGTCAACCTTGTGTTGAGCGTTTGTGTTGCTGAAGACTATCCTTTCATTTGATTCCATTTCCAGACGATGAACTAACATCTATTCAACCTATCCGAACTGGAATTAACGAAAGCCATCAATATCACCTTTTTCTTTCAATTTGGGGTTTCTAGCAGTGCCCAGCCAGTCAAGCAAGCTGAATCAAGACAATCGAGACATATTGCGATCATCATTGCTATTCTAACCGCTGCTGTGCCCTTTGGGTGATTGTCAGAGATGCGACCCTTGAATCGCAAAGCTCCAGTTGCATTAACGTACACTGCTTCTCCGAGTGACCAAGTAGACAGTCTATGTTCGAGATTGAACACAGCTTGAACACATTGAACACTGATGCCAGATATTTCTAGGGTGTTCCGATTTCTGCCCGTTTCAGAGAAGTGCCATGAATTACCGAGTACAGCAGTGAGTACTTGTGACATCTCGTGACCTGTCAGGCTCTCGACTACTGCCACTCCCAAGGAATCATGCACCGAGACGTGAAGCCGCACAACGTCGCTTGACTCACGGATTGGCGGATAATTACAAGCCTTGATCACACCACAAGAGCTGAAGGGATCATTCCACATTGTCAGGTGATGATTGACCACGAGAATCGGCGCGCTCCCCATGCACATTTTTGAGTTGAACATGTTGAATGTAGGTGAGATCTACTGAACTACTTGTGCTCCACGGCCTCTCGTTTTCTCACAGGAAGCTGCGACTCATCGATTGGGGACTCGCGGAGTTCTACCACCCTGGTCGAGAGTACAACGTTCGTGCCAGCCGCTCAAATTATGCAATTTTTTCCTTCTTGATTCAGAAGCTGTTCACAAGCAGAACTGCTGTGTGTTCGAGAGCGTAGAGCACGCACACGCTCAATGTCCATTTGAGAATAGGTGTGCTCGTGTTTGTTGCTGTTGTGATGTGATTGGCATAGGTGGCCTCTCGATACTACAAGGGTCCAGAGCTTCTCGCCATCCTGCCTTGTTTTTTGTGAGATTTGTTGTAAACCTCTCTCTGATTGAATGGCAGAACATAGAGGTGCTACCTGTTTGCACCGTGTTGTATCCATGTTGTTTATCAGCAAGGTCAAAAGAAGTGTTCACCAGTCACTCCTCCCTTGTGTGTCCTTCACGTCTGGCTAGCTTGGGTCTGACAA